TCTAATCTGCCCTTTTCTCTGGTGGAATTGTTGAATCAGATAAGGAGAACAGTAGGGTTAAAAGTTACCCATTAGCGGCTTACGGATCTTTGTCTAGTAATTAACAGAATTTTTCACCCAGACATTTTGCGTGGTCTTTAGTTTTGAGCTGCAGTTGGATTCAACTCCAAATATTTGTACATCTGAGAAATTAACCAGAAGCGATGGGCCTCTGAGAAATGTAAAATTTTGATCTGGTGTTTTTGAAACTTTCGCTTTGTAATCGAAGAACTTTCAAAAATGCTTCACAAAATTTGATCAAAGTAGTTATCAAAAATCTTATCGAAGTGATTATCAGTGATTTTTGATCCACTGTTTCATTCGGATGCTTTACTGAAAATAAAATCGGGTTCAGCTTTGCTGTGAACAAATCTGCCTTCTTATTTACTATTTTGTAATTTTGCTCATATTTGTTTACGATAATTTGGTATTTTGTTTGCGAGCGCCTGTTTGTGTTGAGCATTTGAAATCTTGTTAATTTTTACAAATTGATGTTTTGTATAGATTTCGCTAGTCTGAATTATGTTGTGTTGTGACTTTGCTTCTCTACATGTGATAGTTAAAAATTACCTCTTCTTTTCACAGTAGTCTTGGCTCACTTAAATAACAACAGTTTAGAATAGAAATAATATATATTTGTTTATTTTTTTTTCAAAACCAGAAAACAATAACCGGGAAGCATCAGCGGTTTTCAACATACATAATTTACACGAACTCGGTGGCCATAAGTTTGATATGTGGTCAAAGTCAAGGTCAAAACCCTTTTTGTATTCAATATTATAGACGGTATTATTTAAAAGCAGTCCTAAGCGATAACAATTGCTCACAGCACTACCTGTTAACCGAACTGTCAGTAATTTACTTTTCCAGCGACTGCTTAGAAACAAACTAATGACGGGTTTTGAACCCCAATTTACACGGAAACAAATGAAAGAATCGTGGAGGGATTTGTTGTTTCAGTGGAGGAAGTAATTTCTCGCTCTTCAACATAAAGCTGTGCCAGCTGAGCCTGGTGCTTGGTATGTGGCCAAATTTGACCGGTTTCACTGTTTAGACGGAATTTTCAGCGAGATCGTTTATTTTTTGACATTTCCGTCAAAATACAACATTTTTTGCAGTTAAAGTTGAAGCAGATACTCGATCAGTGGCCAAATAATCCGTGACAAGAAGCATTTATAAGATTTAGATTAGCCGTTCGGATGGTGCTTTATACGAAGCGCCATTTGGCGGCGCGAGACGTTGCTGTAGTTGCGGTAAATTTGGCGGACGGTACTGCAGTGGGTTGATCGGCCTATACGCTGCTGGAGGTGCAGCAATGCCCTGGGGTATTCGTGGTTCTACTTGTACGTTGTTTCCAGCTGTTTGCGTCCCAACGCTCCTGAAAATGCATGGTGCGCTTGATATTAACAATTTTGTCAAGGATTTTTTTGTTGCATTTAAGATATTACAATTTTAGCATTTTTAGCTTTAGTTCGTGTGATTCCCAAGACCGCTTTCCTGCCAAAAAATTTGCATACTTTTTTAAAGCGCCCGTACGTGGCACCCAGGCGTTCGCGGGGAATGAAATTAAAACGGGAGGGTCGCGTACTTTGTGCTACAAAAGATACGAAGTAGACCAGTTAAGATTTTTTTTTGTCGCCCAACTCTTGATGCTTCAATGAAAGGATTGAAAAATGCATTAAATTATGAATGAATGCTGTGAGAGCTATTTTTAATTTGTTCAATAAATAGATTACTTTTGGGAGTATTGCCTGTTTCTGGGATATTCTGGTGGCCTTCGACCGGCACTGAAACTTGGAAAAGTTAAATCACGCACCGCAATTTTTTCGAAATGTTTACTTGTCGTTTTAGTGAGTTTCAAATGAAATAGTTTTTTGATATGTGTTCTTCAAAATCAGTTTTTTTTTTTAAATTTTCCCAAAAATTTCTTGGCCAATTTTATCAAATGAATGGAATCAACGCAACTGTCAGCATGTTGGCAAACCTAGCCTATATTTAAGCTGTTAGTATGCCGCTCAGTAGTTGCTGCAGGAATGGATTTAGGGGCCAGTCAACGAGCCTGGGCGTATTTCTCCACATCAGCGATTTCTTTGGTTCTCTGAGTTGTCTCCTCAATTCTTAGGACTTCCTATGCATTATATACCGCTGAACCGAAAAATAAAGCTGCTTTTGAAAAAAAATGATGAGTAGTGGCATTGAAAACCCAACTCAAGAATGTGAGTGTTTACTATTTACGGTCTGATTTTATGCTCTAGTGGAATGGTGTAAACATCATGCTTTAATGGGAGAAAAAAATATTTTAAGCTTAAATCACCATATAAATTGTACAACTGAAGACATTTTTTAGGAAGAAATAGGAAGAACTGACCTTTGCGCTGGCCTTTCTTCAGCTGCATGCGATGCTCCTGCATTACCTTTTGGACAGATTACCCGATACACCCACACACGTACTCCGCCTCTAAAACACTTATGAAGTCGTTTTCTAATTTCTTCTGATCACCAAGCTTAACTCTAATATTACTGTAGCCGTAGTTATAAATTCTAAAATTCAAAAATTTAATTTTTATGCGTTTTGTTTTAAACAGCAATGAATGGGGGATGTGTGTGTATCCGGATTTATGAATGAGTTTTTCAACTCAACAGCCAGAGGAGCTGGGAAGCCCAAATCCAGTGAGGATATTTCTTGCCCGTGTGCGACTCCGCAAATTTGAATTTAGTTTTTGATTGCGTCTAGACTTCATGTACGGGTACGAGAAATTTTACGTGAAGAAATTTCTAACGAGGGAAGGAAGTTGCAATTTTACGACGATTATTATTTTTTTATGTAACTCCGGAAATTCAAATTCAGCTTCCACGTACATCTCTGTTTAGCTCAGACTGACAAATGCGTGACCACACTGGCACTTTGTGTGAGCAGCGTAATGAAGATACGTAAGCCCTCAGTGGGTTTTCAGGTATTGCTGCATGTTTTTAAAAATTTTTAGGTTACTTATTCGTAACAGTATTCCTCTTAGAAATAACGGATTAGTACTTAAGGAATGATTCTGGCTAATTGCAGTGGCTCAGAGCAATTATTCAGGACAGTTTT